TTATGTTATTTTCTTTTTAATCATGTCCCTCATGGTCGTGAGAATAAACGGGTTTTATCTTTTGATCCCAGATAGATATCAAGAGCAAATATTTTTTAAATCAATATAAAAACTAATAAAAAATTTAATCAAGTCCCGGCTTTTAAAAATATTTTTTTTCAATTGCGCTCTTTATTACTTAGATTATTAAATCTTTGGCTATTAAGTCAAAAAAAAATTATTAAATTAAAATGACTAAAGTACGATTTAAAATTTCCATAAAATTTTCCCCAAAAATTTTTTTAATTCCACCAAAATTCTAATAAAAAATGACCTTCAATTTTTATTATCAAAATTAAAAGATTTATAATGAAATAAAAAAATTTAACGACGTAAAAAGATTATAAATCTGTCAACAAACCGCGACTCAATTTTCTCTATTACATCCCAGATATTAAAAGTTTATGAAGTGTAACTTTCAGTGTATGTAATTTTCAAAAGATTAAATTCTTAAAATACTGCCCGTAAAATTTGTTCCATCAATTTTGTTCGTAACCCAGATTTCCAATTTGTTTTTTATTGCAACCCGCGGATCAATAGCGCAATTGAAAAATTTTATTCATAAAAATATTCTTTAAATACTCCAAAATTTTTACTTATACAATAATAAAACAAATCAGTTTATTCTCACGGCCGAAATCACTCATGAGGTCATGCTGATTTTTTGTAAATTATTTTTGGCCAATCAACTCATCAACCGCGTGTGTATCAATCAAGTGATGGGGATCATTTCAATACAGTAAGAAGTGTTTGAACTTTTGGACACGGGCATCTTATCTAGGCAGGGGTGAGTAAGCTGGCGGCGCGTCGCAAAAGATGAATATAATAAATACTAAATAATTAATATCAAATAATAAAACAAATAGTTGATAAATAATATGGAATTAAATAATGTAAGAGTCATTGACAATGACAAGACGAGAACGATAACGATTAAAAACTAATACATATTGTATGTAACGTCATTATCATATTTTATAGTAATAAAATCGTACTTTATTTTTTTAATTAGTCTAATATGATCATCATAGAAAGAGTAGTAGCATATAAAATGATTTTAAAATAAAAGTAGATCCAATTATTGCTATTTTGCTATTTATCAAAGTAATTAATAGAGTTTTGTAATATTTATTATGAGAGAATAATAAATTGAATGAGTAGAAAGATAAATGATAAAAAAGTAATCGCCCTCGACTAGTCATTGGTTGCGATCGACGCCATCAAAATCATCATAAACTGAACCACGACTGTGTTTCCTAAACTAGGTAAAGCTTACAGAGTGCTAAAAGAGGTGGGAACGCGAGCTCGCGGACCAGCCAGCTTCGTTCGTGGTTGGACAACGATACAATACTCGTCTACTGTGTTCGAGACATTTATTCTGTACGAGGCGTAAGAGAGAATTGAGTATCATATTGCGATAAGTAAACCGCAAGTACGTGTGTTGAAATATACGTATTAAACTGTACGTGAAAATAATAACAACAACATTAATAATAAAAGTAATAATAATGATAATGAAAATGGTAAAATAAAAATAATAATTGTTATTATTTAACTAAATTAAAAAAGTAACTGACGAAAGACTAAATAATTGAAAAAAAGTAACTGATCTGGTACCGAGTGTGTGAAGAGGAAAAGTGAGAAATTGAGAGAGAGAAAGGGTTGAGAAGCGTTAGATGCTACTGTAGTTTCGGACACACAGCCATGGTCTCCCTATCTCCCAGGTACATAACATCGTCACTGATCTATCTTCTATGTCTTATTATTCATAACTTTTATCTTATTATTTATAATACATGATATATATATTTTTTTTTATATATATTGCCATTGTAACTTTAAATATGTTAACTATTTTTATATTTATATATGTGTCTTTATATCCATATCTTTTATTGCTATCGTATTAGAAGCAAGTCATTTGATCATTTGCTCACGTCATTACGCTATTATGCAATCGGTATTATGTTTTTAGTTGCTAAGGTTGATCATTTTTGTTAATTTAATGACTTTTCACCGGTTTTATTTGTGTACGTCTTGTTTATACACTTGGTGCTGTGAGATAAGTATTTTTCAGGGGGTTGTTGAGGAATAAAATACATGAGAAAATAATTTTTCTTTTTTTTTTTATCAATTGAAAATAAAATTTGTAATTTTTTATCCTGTGAAAATTTTTTTTAAACAAAAATTTGAAGGTCAAAAATACATTTTAATTATTTATTTTTAGTTAAAAAAAATTTGGATATTTTTAAGCTGAGTTTAAAAAGAAATTACAAGTATGTAAAGTAAAAATTACATTTGAATTTATTTTGAAATAAATTGAGTGATTAAAAATAAAATTTATAATTTTTTATACTTAGAAAATTTTCTTATTTAAAATTTGAAGGTCAAAAATAAAATTTAATTATGAAAATTGAGTTAGCCGACACTCAAAAATTTTTGATTGTTTTTTTTTCATTAAAAATTAGAACTAAAAAACTATTTTTAAAAAATTCCACGAATAATTTTTGAAATTTTTTACATGTGGAAATTTTTTAAAAATTATTTTTCAATAAAATAAATAATCAAAATTTTTAAATGTCGGCTAATTTAATTTTCATAATTTTATTTTTTTTTGTTAAAAAAATTTGGATGTTTTTAAGCTGAGTTTAAAAACAAATTACAAGTATGTAAAGTAGAAATTAAATTTAAATTTATGTTGAAATAACTTTAGTAATGAAGTTATCCATAATAAAAATTTAAATTAAATTTTGGTGGGTAAAAAGGTTGAGAATAACGTAACTTTAAAGTGTAAATCTAATACCAGTTGATAACTAACAGATTTTATAAATAAAAAATTAAAGCAAGCTTAATCTAGTAACACTTAAAATTGAGTGTAAAAATATGTAGATAAATTAATATCACAAGCTTTAGTTCATAATTAATATAATTTTTCAAAGGCATTGAAAGGTAAATGCAGCTCTTAAAAGCAGACTTAAGTGATAATTTATTTCTCATGTTAAATTTTTATACCCAGCTGAAATAGACTTTTTTCAAGCTCTCTACACACTTTTTTCACTATCACAACCACGTAAATTTACGAGCACTACCTGCATCGTGACTCACTAAATACTCTCTAATGACAATATATTTTAAAAATAAATTTTTGTTAACCCAATATAGTCTACAAACAAGGACGAGCTATTGCTTTTCACGGTGTAATTGATTTCTGGCGAAAATTTACCAATAATTTTGTTAACTCTAAATATTTATTTTTGCCAGTAATTAATTGAATGTTAATTAAAATTTAATAACTCTATTAAAAAAGTGCACAGATTAATCCAACACTTTCCACTCCTCCACGAATAAAATCTAAGTATATAATGATAATTAATTAAAGCTTAGAGCTACTAAAGAGATTAAAAAGAATAACAATAATTAGAGACATGCTTTATTAGTCGCATCTGATGTCTGTGTTGTCTTACGTGATAACGGATATGTGATCTTAAGCAAAAAAATTGGTAGCTGCCGAGCTGAGTGCACTTTGCTAAATTAAAAAATAAATAAAAGAACCCAAATAAATGTAAATGCGATGAGATGTTGTAGAGAAGTCACTGATGCAAAAGCTCGGCAGTTTGGCAAAGTAGTTCAACACCTTTTAGGGAATAGATATAATTAATTTAATGTGATTAATTATAATATTGCAAGGGCTTGATGCCAATGCGGTCAAAGTAGTTATAGTTTATTTTTAATAAACTTTATCATTAAAAAAAACTGTTATCCAAAATATGAAAAAAAACTACTTGATTTAAAAGAAATATTCTCTTGAAAATTTCATTTTAATTTTTCCTTACTAAGGAAACGAGTTTCAATACAGAAAATTCTTTAATCAAGACAACCGGCTTTTTTTTATAGGTCAATAATATTTTTTGCGAATCAAGTAATTTTTTCAATTTAAAATTAAATTTTTTTCAATATTAAAAAATAAAACTGTTCTAAAGTATTAAAAAAAAATTAAATCTATATTATTAAAAGAATAAGCAAAATTTTGTGGCCAGTGTATTTATATGTCCTTATATCTCGTGAACTATTGACATTTTTGAAGATATAAGCTCATCCCGATGTTACATTTATCAAGAGCTTTCATTTGAGTACCCACATGCATTTTTGATATATTTTTCATATATACATATATATAAATATATAAAATATATGAAAAATCGAAGTGGGTACTCAAATGAAAGCTCTTGATGAGTGTAACATCGGGATGAGATTATATCTTTAAAAACGTCAATATTTAAGAAAGTACAGTGCAATGTAACATAATTAAGAAATTACCTTATATCTTGTGAACTACTGACATTTTTAAAGATATAAGCTCATCCTGATGTTACACTTATCAAGACCTTTCATTTGAGTACCCGCTTCGATTTTTCATATATTTTATATATTTATATATATGTATATATGAAAAATATATCAAAAATGCATGTGGGTACTCAAATGAAAGCTCTTGATAAGTGTAACATCAGGATGAGCTTATATCTTTAAAAACCTCAATAATTAAGAAAGTACAGTGAAATTTAACAAAATTCATTATTTAATAAGAGCAAAATTTTATTCATTTATAATTCGTAAATCACGGCAGTCACATAGAGACTGCAAGGTAGCTATTTTCTAATTAAAATTAAATTTCTTACTATAACACCTCCCCTATTAAAAGCGGTAATATTTCTTTCATTACCGAAGTAAGCGAAGTTAACTCTTCAACCAAAATGTTAACAAGTACTTCCTTTAATAATTTTGACCGCATTGGCATAAAGCCTTTGAATATTAATTAAAATAATGATTGCGATCATAAAAAATAGAAAAATAGAGAATAAATTAAAAGCAATGTAAGGTAAATTAAAAACAGTGAGAATGACTAAGAGGAGTGTGACGTGTGTTGATGATTAACGACAAATAGTAACCCGTAAAAATGTATGTCCGGCAGTCTGCAGAAACAGGTCAGCGTGATGAGTATGAACTTGAGTGCCAAGCTGGACGAGCTTCAGCAGCGGGGTGACCGTCAGCTCGAGACGACGGTGGCTCTTTGTGAGATTCGTACTCAGCTACAGGAGCTCACCAAGAGCGTCGAGTCCTGTCAGAGCGAGGTCAGCGAGGTTAAACGGGACATGGTCGCGATAAAGGTATGATTGGCACTGGGGCTAAAAAGTCGAAAGCTAAAAGTTGAGCCCGAAAGTGCTTTATTCAATCAACCGACAATTAAAATTATTAAAGTTTATTGCTATGCATGGCCCGGTATTGGGCATTACTTTTATATTGAACGTGAGTCATTGGCTTGCCCGTGGTAAAGAATATTGTTCTTGTCACGCGCTGCCTGCAGCACGAACTGGACACGGTGCAGCAAGTCAAGGAGGAAATTGAGGAATTACGGGAGTACGTGGACCGACTTGAGGAGCATTCACATCGACGGAAACTCAGGCTTTTGGAACAGGTTTTTTTTATACTTATCTATATCATGTTTCATATCAGAGCCACGTTTTTTTTTTTCTACAAATTGAAAATTGATAAATTGCCGAGAAAAAAAATTCACTGCTAATTTTTTTTTCGCTATAAATTATCAGTTTTTTTTTTTTTTTTTTATTAAAATTAGAATAAAAAACAATCTCTGAAATGAAACTCCTTTATTTATACGTACCATTGTGTGTATTTTTTATTTTTTTGTTTGTATTTGTTTTTGACAAATAAAATTTTTTATTTATTATTTATTTTAATTGTTTTATTTATTTATTTTGTTTGCTTAAATAAATTAAATTTGCACGATGTGAGTTTATTTTTTTATAAAGCAATTTTTTATTTTATTACTTAATTTAAAGAAAAAAAAGGAATTTTAAGAGAATTTAACCCTTTGGAGCACATACAGATAAATTTAAATGTAAAAGCTTTTTTATTATTTTTTTCGGTGAGTCGAAAAAATTTTTACGAGAGATTTTTATATTCTAGAACAGGAACAGGGTAAGCTTTATTATCTTTTTTATATCTTAATAAATGATGACAACGGATAACTACTCCGAGTTAATGTTAGTCATTAAAAATACCTTTTTAAAAGACACATAAAAGCTTTAAAAAATTCTTCCAGCAGTATGCTCCAAAGGCCGATAAAACCTCAATCTTATTTATTATTATTATTTTATTTTTTCACTATTTTGTATTTTTTATTTGTGATTTATTCTGTATAATCCTTTGAATATTGCATCGGTGTTAAAAAGCTAAATGCGCATAAATATTTTCAGGGATTAACATTTTTCCTGGCGTACGCGATATTCGCAGCGGTGTTTGGAATGCTTCAGTTCGGATACAACACTGGAGTAATAAATGCACCTCAAGGGGTAAGTTATTGGCATTCTCAAGCACCTACCCGCATATATGTATAGTACCGCGTATGATACGATACATTAATAAATCATCAATATTGCAAAAGCTCTCGAAAAAAATAACACGCGCGAGGAAAAAATATTTATTAATTTGATATTAAAAATCTTTTTAGAATATTGCCAACTTCATGAAAGATGTCTACAAAGACAGGTACGGCGAAGATATGCCTGAATATTATGTTAAAAATTTGTACTCGGTAGCGGTGAGCATATTTGCAATTGGGGGGATGATCGGCGGGTTCAGCGGCGGAATTATTGCTAACAGATTTGGAAGGTAAACAAAAATTATTTTAAATTATTACTGTAATCCGTCTGACGGTAACTAGACTTTATTTTATGTACAAATTAACGTGCACGAGCATCACGTTGTCAGAGCTTGGGTATTTCCAAATAATTAACGATAAGCTACTTATAAGTATTTATATTAAATATATTAATAGTTAACTGTTCGTAGTAAAATTCATAATTTCTTTAGAGCTACTTGCTCAATAGGTATTTTTAAACTGACTTTCTTTGGGTCTTAGTACTTTTTTTTTCTTTCTATTGTTAAGAATTAAGCGATGTTAGACCAGTCAAAATTAAAAAAGAAATATTATTCATTCTGTGAAATTGTTTTTAAATGAACCGGTTGTTTTAATAATAACTTTTTCCGGTTTTAAAAACGAGTTTAAAGTAAAAAAACAAATATTTTATCTCAAGTCTTTCTAGAATGTATTTGAAACTTATTTTTAAGGATGAAAAATAACAAAAAATTAAGGATTTTTAGAAAAATTATAGCTTTATTTATAAAAGCTTGTTCCTAATAAAAAATTGAAAATTTTTACAAACTGTGTAAGATTACATTTGAGACTGTAAAAATTAATATTTAAAATTGTATTTTATAAAAATTTTATTTGAAACTTTATAAATTTTTTTGCTTGAAATTCAAAAAATATAATTGTGGAGTAAAATATAAGCGCTCTTATTATAAAATCATCAAATAGGTAAAATTCGTGAATAAAGAATTTTTTATCCTTATTATTATTTTCTTGATTAAAAATTAAATTTTTTGAATTAATCCAAACTAAATATTTAAAATCAAAAGTAAAATTTCAAAAATTTTTTAATCAAGTAATTTTTTTCTATAATAATTTTATTTGTAATCTTAAGTTTATAAATTTTTTTTTTTGAAGCTTAAAAAATAAATTGTGGAGTAAAATATAGGCGCTTTTAGTTTAAAATAATCAAATTGGTAAAATTCTTGAATAAAAAATTTTTTATACTTATTAGTTTTATTTTATTCATTAAAAATTGAATTTTTTTGAATTAATCCAAACGAAATATTTCAAAGCAAAAGTAAAATTTAAAAGATTTTTTAGCTAAGTAATTTTTTTCTATAATAGTTAAAAAAAAAACTAAAACCATACTCAAGCCAATAATTCAAACCTGAAAGCTCCGTAGATTTATTATGTCAGACTCGGATTACAAATGACCATCACTAGATCAATATCTGTTAACATAATTGTTATTTATAGAAAAGGGGGACTGCTATTAAACAATGTACTAGGAATAGTAGGAGCATGTTTAATGGGTTTCACAAAAGCAGCTCATTCATACGAGATGTTATTCTTGGGACGTCTTATAATCGGTATTAACTGCGGACTGAACACGTCATTAGTTCCCATGTACATATCGGAAATAGCCCCGCTGAATTTACGAGGTGGGCTGGGAACTGTTAATCAGCTGGCTGTTACTATCGGCCTCTTAATTTCCCAAGTACTGGGTATTGAACAAATTCTGGGCACTAATGATCGCTGGCCCGTTCTACTGGGTTTAGCTGTCATACCGCCTATTGCACAACTCCTGTTACTGCCAATCTGTCCAGAATCTCCAAGGTAATCTCGACCTACAACTATCACTGATTAACTATAAATACTGTTCGAACTAGTGACTTCCATGACTAATTAACAATTTGGAATGGCGAGCGGCGGAAAAGACGAACAAGTAGTGAATAAAATAAATTTTTGGCAGGTATTTGCTCATCACTAAGCAGTGGGAAGAGGAAGCACGTCGCGCACTGAGAAAACTCCGAGCTAGCAATCAAGTCGAGGAAGATATTGAAGAAATGAGGGCTGAGGAGCGAGCTCAACAGGCTGAGTCAACTATTTCGATGGGCGAGCTTATATGCAGTCCAACTTTAAGAGCTCCCCTCGTTATTGGTGTGGTCATGCAACTATCACAGCAACTTTCGGGTATCAATGCAGTAAGTCTTCTTAAAACTATTACGTTCTATTGTACTTTAACTATCACTACACTGAACATTCTCCAGATTCTCTCCAACCTGTATTATACTAAACAAAGTTCCTCTTTTGTTGCATTAATGCATAACGAGCTAAAGTCATTGTCATTGTTGTTTTATTATTATTATTATTATATTACAGTAAACATCTATTGTTTAAGTTTTGGTTGTTATTTTTTTCTCAAAGGTCTTTTATTACTCGACGATACTGTTCCGAAGTGCTGGATTGTCTGACGAAAGTGCCAAGTTCGCAACGATCGGTATAGGCGCTATTATGGTTGGTATGACGTTAGTATCCATACCGTTAATGGATCGCACTGGTAGACGAACGCTACATCTATATGGTCTCGGTGGAATGTTTATATTTTCCATATTCATCACCATTTCGTTCCTTATAAAGGTAAGTAATCCTCTGACCGATTTATTATTATTAATGTTAATATCACCATTTTTAATCACTAGGTTTGGGATTATTTTTGGGATAAGAAGCCAATTACAATGCTAATTTTAAGTCTTGAAACTCTACTAAGCCTTTTAAAATAATAGTCATGATAATATTATTTAATATTAAAAAAATTTTCAACGAAGAAATCCTATTACACTGAAAAAAAAACCTTCTTGACAATGAAGTCAAAGTTTCTTGAGCCAAAAAAATTTGCTAGTTATTTACAAGTAGGGTCAAACCTATTTTTGACCATATCTAGGTGAAAAATTGACATTTTTTGATTCTTTTTACGGCGCATTTATGATAAAAAATGTCGTGAAAAAAAAATTAAAGATTTTGATAGCTTTTTTGTCTTCAAAAGTTGGAAAAAATTTTGGCTTTCCTATTTTTGGATAAAATTTATATTTTATCTTTTTTTGATATTTTTAATACATATTTTTTTTTTTTAAAGTACATAAAAAAACGAACAATTTAAAAAAAAGGTGAATATCACAATTTTCTAAAAAATTCATAAATTTTTTTGAAAATTTGTTAAAATTGTGATAATCAATTTTTTTAAATTGTTGATTTTTTAGTTAAATTAAAAAAAAAAATATATCAATAAAATCAAAAAGAAGTTTCGTTAAAAAAAATGAAAATTAAAATGGTTGACTCCACTTGTAAATATTTACCAAATTTTCAATGAAGAAATCCCGTTAAAATGCTTAAAAAATAAAATTTAAAATTAAAAAAAAAATTATTAGAAAAATATTGGCTTCTGATGACACCAAAAATATGATCATAATTATAATATAAGCACACGTATGAATTAATACGTATATGTTAATGCTCCAGTTAGGAGAAGAGTTTATAATTGTTGAAAGAGATCATTAAACGTTCATATGTGAGTACATTCAACGCACCCGGGTTAATATGACGTGTAATACACTTTTTAAGCGGTTTGATGTTTACCTTGATAATTAGTCTCCAAAGAAAATTTTTTTCATGCCCTTATTTCATCCGGAATTTACTCAACTTGCAATGTAATATAATGTTATTTAAGAATCCGAAGTATGCGTAGACCATAACCGGTGCAGCGAGAAGGATTGTTGGGTTTGGATGAAAAAATTTTATTGTTCTGTGTATGCGGTCTGGCTCAAATATTTGCACGAGTTCTTGCTTCGGTGTTTTGAGTCTCAGTAAAGAGGGAAAATAATTCTATATTATTTCGCCTTTGCATAGCTTGCAAAAAATATCTCATTTAATTACTTAAACGCAATTCAAAACTAAACTTTCAACTTATTCATAAGAAGCCATTTACAAGCCGGAGGATTTTAGTGAATTATGATTATTACTGTCTTTAGTTAAAGTCTTTCATGCTTTATCTTCAAATGAAACGGAACCAATTGACGTTGAGAAATTAAAAGGAAAAAAAATTTACTGAAGAAATAAGCTTTCAAGTAAATTTATCACAAAGACTTTTTCTTGAATTTAAGTTATTCGAAAAAAGGATGAAAATAAAGTTCGATTTATTTTCAACAATAAAAAATCATTTTATTATTACTTTTTCTTTTGTATTATTATCACGATAAAAACGTCAACTTTTAAAGCTTAGAAAATGAATTTATTCTTCAATATAAACGACAATTTCTCTAAAGATAATACAGCTTATAAAAATTCAAACGCCAAAAATATAAATTGACATATTACTTTTTTTTTTTGTTATTTATATAAAATAATATAATTGACTTTGGCTACTTCAAATCCAATTTAATTTAAATCTATAAACTTTTATACCTCCGTTGGAGTTTAAGATCAAAGATCATCAATTTACCGAGTTAGTCTAAAAATAGCCTTAGATAAAACTCTAACTGATTGTCAGTCAATCGTCTCCAAGTATCGATGTCCAAAAATAAGCCACTATAACCCGTTATTTAAAATCAATCACCTTGTAAGCATTTATAGACACAAACTACAGTCTAAACTCTTCTCCTTTCTCAGCAACAGGAGCTAAATAGGATAAATAGCTATTTCATACTTCAATATCGATATATACAAATTTTCGACCGACATGTATTTGTATATATTAGAGATAAGTCGAGGCATTCGATATGCTCTTTGGTTCTCGAGCAGTACTGCTCAATGCCTTTGAAAAAGGCATTATCGAAAGTCCTGACCTATATTTATATTATAATAATAATAAAATATGAGAAAAAATATAAAGCTAGAAAGCTGTAAATACCAATCTCTTCGTGCTTCAACACAACGCACTCGAGTGTAAGGTACTTGAAATGCTTTGTACCCAGCTGGAGTGGGGCACGCTGCACCACCGACTGTGAGAGTTTATCACACAAAATATGCAGCTATTTTGCGATATTTTATTATCAATATGACGAAAATTTCATTTGTTGTTATTATTATTATTTTTTAATAAATTACTCAACGAGGTGTCTTGATAGTTTTGCATCTATTCGAATTCCTGCTGAGATTATTATTAATACTACAGAAAAAAAAAATTTACTTGAAATTTTATTTGAATCAAGAAAATAATTTCATTTTTTTTGTTGAATAGAAAAATTTTTTAACTAAAAAGTTTAAGTAAATTTTATTCGGTTCAAAAATTTTTCGTCTTAATTTAAAGCAGTGAAATTTTTTTTAATTATTTTTTTGGTTCAGAAATTTCAAATTAATTTTTTTTATTAAAAAATTTTAATTTAAAAAAAAAAAAATTGCATTAAAAAATTTTAATTTTTTAAATTAAAAACCCCTAAATTACTTTCTTATAAAAAAATTTTTTAGTTTATTCAAATTAATTTTTTTTATTCAAAAATTTTAATTTTTATTCAAAAAATTGCATTAAAAAATTTAAATTTTTTAATTTAAAATCCCCTAAATTACTTTCTTATAAAAAAAAAATAGTAATAATAACAAAATAAGTAAAATAAAAATGTCTACATATAAAAAACATCATCTGTATACATGTAAGACTCAATAATCTCCTTAACCTGCATGAGCTTTATTACAGCTGTTATTATTAAAAAAAAAAAAAGAAAAAAAAACTATCAGATTTATTCTATTGACTTGCACACTTGAAAGCATTCGCATTATTACCAACAATAACAACAGTAATATATTACACATTACCTATATACGCTTTTAATATTTTATCGTAGAATAATCATCGGGTTTAGTCGATGCAGCAGTACGATAACACAATAACAATCTGCATGTTTATTTGTTTTAACTGTTTGCTAATTTTGCATTCCCATTACCCTTATTTCCCCATTCCCTGTCCCTCCCCCACCGACCTTTTGACCTCTTTCGTGACAGTCTGGAGGAGAATTTAATAATTTAAAAACTCTATATATTTAACATTTATTTAAATATTTTTTTTAAAGCTCAAACCTGTTACTTTTGATACCATACTCACAGTCATTCGTGCCTCGATGGCTTTTCTGATGCTTGCATAATAAACATTTAAGTACTTTTATATACTAACATCTCTGTGTATGATAAACGTATACATATATATTGAATAGGTATTATGTAAGAGCTCGTAAAATTTTTTACCTTTCATTCAAGATTGTCAGAGCTAGAGTACAAGCATTCAATTTACTATTATACGTACTTTTAACAGTAAAAACGTTTTTTTTAATCTTTTTTTTTTTTTTTTTTTAACATATACATACGGCTTTCTATTCTTATTCAAATTATTATGATTATTGCAGGCGGGTTTTTATGAGGTCAATTGTCCGACGTAAAAAGATACAGCGCAATCCTTAAAAACCCTCACAAGCGAAAAAAGTTTGCTATTTAAGTGAATAAACAACAAAGCGTTTAACTTAAATAAACACTAATAACACTGCTTATGAACAAAACGCACTTGAATTTACATTTTAAATATATACACTACAATATATTTATAATTAATATAATAATAATGATAATTTAAATATTCACAGACAACACAAAAGTTCAGGACTTGAGCTGCACGTGCATGGCTAATTTATTTATTTATTATTTTTATTTATATTATACTTATTTTATGAATGATTATGAATCCTGAGGCTCCTCCAGCTGCTCAGGAAAGATGAACTTTATTCTACGCCCTGATAGGAGTTTTTCAATTACGTACAGGAAATGATCGGGTGGATGTCTTATCTATCAGTGGTATCGACACTAAGTTTCGTAGTATTCTTCGCCGTGGGACCGGGTTCGATACCGTGGATGATCACCGCCGAGTTATTTTCTCAAGGTCCTCGTCCGGCTGCCATGTCAATTGCTGTCCTCGTTAATTGGATGGCTAATTTTGTCGTCGGAATCGGTTTTCCAAGCATGATGGTGAGTTATCTTTATCTCTATTTTTTTTGTTCTGACAAAATAAAATGCGGAAAAATAGTACGAGGTTTTTTTTATAAAAAAATTCAATTCTATAACCCACTAAAAAATTTAATTTAAATTTAATGCTGGCTAATGGTTAAAAATTAATCCGTATCTCTGTAGAGCAGAAAAAATCCCAAGATTCGCGGATTGCTGTGAAAATTAATTCATGAGCCGCGGGATTTATTTTCAAGTTCTTTTTTTTTTGACTGATAATAAATAGTTCATTTTTTGTGCGAATTAGACCAGTTTTGTTAATCTAAATTGAAATGATAAGGAACAACTATCATCCCGATGTTATACTCATCAAGAGCTTTCATTTGAGTACCCACATGCATTTTTGATATATTTTTCATATATACATATATGTAGTATATATAAATATATCAAATATATGAAAAATTGATGTGGGTACTTAAATGAAAGGTCTCAATGAGTGTAATGTGAGAGTGAGCTTATATCTTTAAAAATATCATTAGATGACAAAATACAAGGTCATTTCTTAATTATTGACATTTTTAAAGATATATGCTCATCCCGATGTTATACTCATCAAGAGCTTTCATTTGAGTACCCACATGCATTTTCATATATTTTTCATATATACATATATATAAATATATAAAATATATAAAAAATTGATGTGGGTAATCAAATGAAAGGTCTCGATGAGTGTAACATCGGGATGAGCTTATATCTTTAAAAATGTCAAAATTTCACGAGATATAAGGTCATATAAATACACTGGCAACAAAATTTTGCTTATTCTCTTATAATAATATAGATTATTTGATGGTTGTTTTTTTCAGACCTGCCTCGATAATTATACATTCCTACCGTTCAGTGCATTCCTGGCTGTTTTCTGGATCTTTACGTACAAAAAGGTGCCGGAAACTAAAAACAAGACCTTCGAAGAGATATTGGCTCTCTTTAGGCACAACCACGACAGGTATGACGGAAAGAAGCTATCAAATGTGATATCCGATTCTTATACTAGTAGACCACAAGACAGATAGTTTATTCTAAATACTCAACTTATTATTATTATATATTATAACAATTATTACGATAACTGTTATCATTGCATTAGATATACATATATATAACTGCCATCAATGTAAATCGCGCACTTTAAACAGTTTATAGTTATACTAACTGTTTTCAGTTTGTTACCATAACTTCAACTGTTATTACTTATAACATACTTTACATATATATGGGCAACCATTTCATATGTGCAGATTTATTCTTATGAAAATTGATACCTCAAAAACATATCATCAAAATAAAGCATTGTCTTTAAATATTTTTGTTTTAAGTTAATGTCTTAGATATTTTTTTATCGTTTTATAAAATTTTTTAAATTAAGTTTTCGGGACCAAGTATATAATAGAAACTAATTAATTTTTTAATTTCAAGTCAATTATTATTGTTGAATAAAATTTTTTCTATAAATATATTTCGGATAAAAAGTTAAAACAAGACCGTATTATTTTTATAAATATTTTTTTACCAAAAAAAATTCTCGCAATATCGATAATTTCTATACTCCAATCAATTCTCAAAGTTATTTCATTAATCATCAATTTTTTTACTCACCGGATCCGCAAAAACTCGAGTCGAGGGTCAGATTAAATTGGACACCGAGGAAAAGCGATTAAAAAAAAATTTTTTTTCACTGGAAGGATATAACCTGGAAACAAAAAATATTTTTATGATTATCCTCGAGGTTTCGAAGCTAAACAAAAACCAATATATAAATTTTTTCTAGTTATTATTGTTGTGATTGATGATATTTTTTTTCTCTAGAATTCAATTGACGTCAGGTTAATTTTGATGAACTAAAAATTTATCAAAATTCTATAAAGATCTCCGTTCAACAACGCGCTCAACTCAGTAATCCGTATCATTATTGCTATTATTATTATTATTATTATTATAAACAGTATAAATACAAATGCCCGCAATTCAAAATGAAGCTTTAACGAGTAAATAAATTTTAATACTACAAATAATGGTTTAACTGAAATTCGATAAATGTAAATTGATATTCGGCTTTTGTAAACCTTTAACGATTCGGTCAAGTGATTTGTTAACTCGGTCATACAACTTTATCCAATATATCCTATTTCTAGTAGTTAAAAATACAGCTGAAGTATTATATACATTTAATATAAAAAAATAAGCACAATTGTACAAGGATCAGAAGTAATTGATAGCATCGTTTCGATAAATTTCAAACTGATGCAATTATCATTAATCATTATTATTTTATTTTATTTTTTATTATTATTATTGCTATTGATTTTAATTATGTTTGATGTGTACTTAGTCCAAATAATTTATTAAATTGAGTATTGTACTTAACATATTGTTTATACAAAATAAATAATTACTGTTAATCGTATTTGTTTTATAATTTTAATTAGTATTATTTGATTTTTTGTTAAATAATAATTTTTTTGACTTTATAATTTATAATTTACTTTTGTTAAAATAATCAAAGGAAGTAAATATAAATAAATAATTTAAAGAGGATGACATTGTCGTAACTATGCTCTTTCTGTATTATTCGACACAGGAGCAGCTTGCGGGACAGCCGACTTTATGGGTGAGTCAAGTGAAAATAAATAAATAAATAAACGAGTTGTGTTTTCTGCGACGTCGGCTTTTCAGTTACTCAATATTGTTTTGTTTTTATTTTTGTTTCAACTTTTATACAAATAACTTTCATGCATGATTAAATCCATTGTTTTTTCCATCAACATCAAACGGAATTATATTTTTAAATATTTTATTTTCTTTCTAAATAAATAGAATGATATAAAAGAAGCTTGAGAAGATCTTGGTATACTTACCGGGAAATATAATGGAAAATCGAAGGAACTGACAACTTTAAAACTTTTCTCTTTATAATATAATAATTCAAAGGATATTTTCACATTTTTTTCTTTAATTTACGCAAATTATTGTCTTTAGTAATATGATATGTACCTTTAAATTTACATAATTTTGTGATTAAAATTAAACAGCGCGCCCGGAAGCCATTTGAAATTCAAATAGAAATTATTGGAAATAATTCGATTTTTTTTTTAGCTCACGGTCACATTAGAAAGGTCTCGTAATTTTTTTTTATTGAAAAAAAAGTTATAAAAATTTTAGAGTCAGAAGAGAAATTTTTAAGTTTTCAGTTCGGTTTTTAAACTTGTAAAAAATATTTTTAAAATTCAAAATAAATTATTAATTCAGATTTTTTAATTATTTCTGTAAATAATTTACTTAATTAAATTAAATTTCGGATCTACTGAATATTTAAAATATAATTCCATTAGACAAAACGACGTTTGTAAGTTTAAAATAAAAATACCGCATGATATTTTGAATAAAACCTGTTAGTTTACTCAATTATTATTATTTTTTTTAATTAATTTATTATTATTATTATTACTGTTATTATTATGACTACTATTACTATAATAAAGTTAAGAAAAATAGAAATTACGGTAAAACTTCAGAACCAGTAAAGCTAATTATTCAAAAAATCAAATAATGATAATACAGATAATTATATAGCTGCATGAACAATTAAGATAAATAAATAACTAAATGTTATTATTTATTTAAAAAAAAAAAACGTGATACATTTCACAGTTTCTGCAAAAGTAACTCAGGGCTATTGTGTAATTAAACTTTTATTGGTAACGTAAGTGACCAACATTATATTAAAAATGAATAAAAAAAAAATTTGTAATTATTAAAATAATAAATAAGAATAATAAGTAACATAAGAGCCCCGACACACTTGACTATCTGGAGCCTAGCATTTTATCGCATGCTCCTAATTATTAACCTATACCTTTAGATTATAATTTAATTTATTTAAAATTGTTAAAAATTGAGTGATAATTTTAATTGCAGATTCAAAAGTATATTTTTGAAAGATTTATAATCTACTGGGGAATTGTCGACGATAGTTGGCACGATTTACTACCGACACTATGTGCAATTGCATGTCAGTGCTTAATCGTTATAAGCGTTTTATTCGTAAATGAAAATAAATAATAATTATTTATATTTTTTGTCGATAGCCAAATGCTTCCAAGCGCTTTAATTACCTTAATGCATCTACTTTTTTTTATCCTCAACTATTCGTCATTGCAATAAATTTAATATCATACATTTTTTTCATTGCGGTTCAATATACTCTACTGTAAATCTTTTAACTCTTTGGGATAGTACTTTTTTTTTTTTTGAATGGTCGTTGTGACTATTTAAATTCAATATACCATCCAAAGTAATAGAAAAAAAAAAAAAAAAACAGATGAGTTTTTTTTTATTGGTGACTGTTACTTTTCAATTGAATTCATTCAGAGTGTTCATCGTGTTTATTAGTTTTTTTTTTTTTTTTCAATGAAATCGTTGAAATACCATGTATGAAAATGATTTTTACTAAAAATATTTATTATCTCTCTTTTTAATCAATTATCACTTACAAAATTCAAATAAAATAAAACCGAGAAACTAAAAATAAAAAATCGGATATTTTTTCTTTTGCAATCGCACAAAGATATAAATTCACATGTGAAAAATTACAAGGACCTAATTTGAATACAGAATTAAATCTCCATAGAATTAAATTATTTTTTTCCGAGAACAGTAGATTAAAAAAATCACTGTCAGGAGGAAAAATCGCTGTTATAAATTGAACAACTTCCTAAATGGACTTTTAAGCGAGCCATTCCCATTTCAATAGTTGTTTCTCCTTTTTTTTAAGCTCTGATTTTTTTTTTTAACCATTCTAGTATTGCATAGCTGCAGTTGTCATAGCGGAACAAAATTATCAATAAAATTTCAACATCGCAGTGTTATTTTTAGTTAAATTAATTAAATTCATCGCATCCCACTTTCAAACTTTTTTGTTAAACTTAATTAATTAAATTACAACTTTAATAAAAATATTT